TTACAAAGACTTCACCAGCAATTCCCAGCTCTAACACACATTCAGAGAAACATTTCAGGATGAGTTTGACTGCACCTACTATTTAAGTCAATCAAGTTCAAGTCCCCAGCACATTTTCTACTTCTACCTCCCAAAACAGAATTCTCATAAACTTCCAAAACAACCATCACTTTAACAGCTGTATCCAGATAAATCTAGTAAAATCAAAGTAAAAATTTAGGGATCTGCTGTGGCACAGGTGCATACACAAGTTAAATAACCTAGAGCACCCTAAAGGTTCCTAGTCATGCATCAAGACAGTTGAAGCCCTTAGCAAACACACCACAAGAACCCTGCTTCCTTCTCCTAAGCTATTCATTGTGTCCAAAGTCTGATTTTTATTCTTGCATTAACTACCAGGAATGCTGTGAGTAAATTATTCTTTTTTAAATCCCCAGCTGTAGCTAAAATAGCTTATTACAACATTTACTGGGGGCTGACATTTCATAGCTGCCAATATCTAACTGCTTTCGAAAAAAAATTACAGTCTCAGCATAAAGCATGCCAAGGCCCCAGCTGGCACAAGCATGCATGTTTATCTTTGTGAAGGTTATGGTTTTGTTTTGTGGCTGCATTAAAAAAAAAAAAAAATCAGTTAAAAAACTTAACTTCTCTGCAAAAGACGGTGAGCAGTTTCCCACACAAGCCAGATCCAAAACTGGCAGCAGGCATCCCCAGGCCTAAGTACAGGGTTTTTTTAATTCCTGAGTTAAAATTATCACAAGGTTCACTCACAGAACCAGCACTAAGCTGGAGTACACAGCAGCACCTTGCCACACTGGCTCAGGCACAGAGGTTAGGCTGGAACACAACAGCTCACAATTCTGTCCACTGCTCCACACAGCAGAAACCCCCCATGGCACAGCACCTGGCTTTTGCACTGAGTACCTGCAGGGCAGCAAGACAAAAAAGGGCACTTGTAAACAGCATTTCTCCAGACACTGGCTCCCAGTGCTGCTCTGACCACTCACTCAGATCTGCCTTCTTCCATCCCCGTGTGCTCCACAGCTCCAAGACCTTACCTGCACCAGGGAGCCAAGTCAATGTTCCCCTCGCTTTCCACACATTCGCTCTCAAATGCATTCACAGACATGTCTTGGCATGTGCTCAAAAATCACCATCCATTAGGAGAAAATACTAAACAAAGGATTTAGAGGAAGACACGGCTACAGATCCACAGTCAAGTTAAGAAGGGCATGTCAGCATATGCAACACACATCAAACATGAAAGCAAAACCAGTAGGGTTCTGGGTTATATTCATGCTGCAAGCATGTATGTTTCAACAAAGTCAGCACTGAGGAGCCCTGGAGTTAATTCCTGGAAAGCACAGATTTCTATTTAGCAAATACAAAGAAGAAGCCAAAAACATCTTTTTTGATACAAAAAAAAGTGCAAAAGAACCATTTAAGAGCCAAAAAAGTATCTGGCTATTGTGGTCTTTTTCTTTTCCTGTACAAACCACTTGTGAGACCTTGTTTAGAGCACTGTATTCAGTTCTGGGCATTTGGCCAGAAGACATTCTGGAGCTGGTGGAGTGAGGAAAAATAATAGTTTTGGGGTTTTTTTGAGAAAAGTCCCTCAGAAAAGAGTTGTGTCTGCATCTAAGCATGTATACATGAGATTGGGGAGGTGACTTAACATCTTTCACCAGAGTCAATCTGCAGTGCTCTGCCAGATGTAAAGGAGCAATAGCAATTTGCAGCAAAAGATTTGTCCTTTTGTTTGTGAATACCATACAAAACGATCCAGTGCTTTCAGACTTTTCAAGATGCAGCAAGACAACCCCTGCTTATGTGCAAAGCAGGGCTTTTACTCTTCAAAGACAAGTTACAGATAAGACATCTTCCAAGAACATTCATTTACAAGGCTGTCTCAAAAACCCTGTTCCAAGATCAGGAGGGAAAATGTAATTTTCTCACCCTACCCTCACATTATAAACAGTGTTCACAGACCAGAATCCTCCCTGGTGCAGCATCATTACCTGTTACAACACACAACACACACAGGTGCACTAATTCCAAACAGTATAATGACGAATATGTACTACAAAATACTGTCATTCCTGCCAGAGAACTGGTAGGACTCCAGGAACTTCCTTTTGTTATTTTCACTCTATCATGGTGAGATCTTCATACTCCTCTCCCATATATATGCTGATGGCAGAATCCTTACCAGCTCCAAAGGAAACAGTACAGCATTAACGCACAACAATTTTCAACTGAGCTAATTGTTTAGATCAAAATTTCCAAAAAACCAGAATTAACCTAATGACAGAACATGACTGCAGCTCCACAATTTCTTTTCTGCTATGGGTAGTTTCACTCTGCTCATCTCAAGGTAGAAACATGCCTTTAGCCATCCCACAAAATTTTCAATTTTACTTTAAAAAGTAAACAACGGGTTCTATGTATGCAGGCTCATAAAATCTACATAAGGCAACTAAACATTACACAGATAAAGCCAAGCTCTTGGGCCTGATTCAGCATTCACAACAGCACAAATTCAGAAGCAACTCCCCTGAAGTCAATAAAGGATAAAACATACTGTCAGCAGAGGAGAACTACACCCACCCTCCTTTGACTCAAGAATGATCCTCACAAAGAATGGACTTCACAAGCATGAGAGAGGAACACTATGCTACACTACCATGCTTTTTGTTTTGCCTGAAAACTTAAACAGGCAGCTACAAACACTTCCATGCACAGACTCTCTTGCCCTGCCTGCTTGGGCACAGAGCAGCAGGGTGCACTCTACACACACTTCTCCCAGCAGCACCGTGCTCAGATGACAAAAGGATTTGTGCTTCTGCACTGCACAAACCTCTGCCTCTGTCTCGCCAGTCACGTCATCAGCTGAGACAGGGGATGCTTTTTGGGGCAGAATGCCCATGGACTGCTGTGGTGTGCCTACAGGTCCTTCACCACCTTCCATTTCTGCAGCAGCCTTGTAGAACAAGGAGGCAGAGGAACGACTGTATGTGTTTGCCTTGGTTTACCTACAAAAAGGTCCTTGAAGCCAAATTAACCCAGGCTGGGTTAAAGCACAGCATGTCTCCCCTGCCAGGTAAGGATCACACAGGGCCTGGACCAAAAGCAGGATCAGACCACGTACACACTTCAGACTCTACAGCCAAGAATGCGAAGCAGCAGCAGCAGCTGCCCTTCCACAAACAAACCATGTCATGGCTCACAGCAGCTGAGACAAAGAAAATTCCATGTCCCTGACAGCTCTCTGTCCTTGTCCTGCTCAAGCTGCAAATGCTCAGGGCTCCTGAATATGTATGGTAAGGTGAACCAGAGCACCTCGGCACTGGCTAGCTGCAGGTGGTAGAGTATCAGTACCAGTAATGTCCACAGTAGTCCTACTCTGGATCACAAGCACCATAAATGCTAAGAAGCATCCATGACCTCCTTTTGTAGCTCCATGAGAAGACATAGGATAACTGTATTGCATTAAAGTGTCTTGATGTAGCATTTAATGTGTCAGGAGAAATTTATTTTCAGCGTTCTGAAGTAAGACATGTATTAGAAAACTAGAGCCTCATATCCATCTAATTCATATTAAAACATCTGTGTTTTGCTACAGTGAGTCAATGTAACACAGGGTACTGAATATTCAGCTACACTTCCAACCCCTCTCCTGATAAGCACTACCGATTGGATGATAAGTGACTCAAACACAAAAAAGGTAACTGGCATGCTTGCCTCTGCCTAGCATTGTCTCCACAGCAACTCTTCCACGTAAAGCCTCTTACTCTCTTACTCTTAAACCTCTTACTCTGGAGATCTGTATGGTATGCCAAATATTTATTACAGCCACAGGCAAGAGCTACACAACCACAGTGCCTGCAATACATTTGACCACAGAACGAGTTTTTTCTGTGTGTTGTTCCACCGGTGTCTGAAGTCACTGTGTCTGCAAGGTTAAGAGCATGATTTTACTGTTTATCTCATTTCTCCTCCTGATACAGAGTCTCTTAGTGGTCCTACAGAAACAATAAACTGTGGCTGTGGTTTAGTGAGATGTTAAGAAAAGACCTGAGTCCATATCTACTTGATACAGTACTCCATCAATCCCCTGCTGCTGATGGGAGATGAATTACCTCACATTGTCCTCATACATAACAGCAGCTTTTTAACTGCTAAAGTAACAGCACTGTTCTTTTCTTTTCAAGGCAGCAGCTCCCTTCTGAAAAAAATCCAGTCACCCTACTGATCAGTCTCTTAGTAGCCACTGCTTGAACTAGCTTTAAAAACAACTCAAAAATGCCCCAATAGTTAAGTAGAAGAGCTAGTCTTCTTCTACACCAAAGAGCAACAGGAACTACCCCTCCTGGTCCTGTCAGCCACACGCCAGAACACCTGTCCAGCTGCCCACTCACCAAATGCCTCAGCAAGGGTGGCAGGAGGGGACTCTGGAGCAGAGTTTCACACAGACACCAGAACTACTGTCCTAGAGGTGCAGTGAGAGACACTGAGCTGGCTGGGAGTGTAACAGGGTGACAGAGTGATCTACCACAGTTCACACACAAAACCCCCCCAAGACACTATATCCAGCTGTGCCAGCAGCAACGCCTGCCAACAAACCCCTGGCCAGCACAGCCTCATTCCACTTCCTCTTGCTGGTCTAATTAAATAGTCAAGCCCTAAGGAATAAATTGGTATTTTTGGAGCTAAACAGATCTGAAACTAATGAACCTTAATACATATCTGGCCTGAAGGAAGTCAAGGGCTTGGTTGCAAGGCTATACTGGCATACTTTTACCACAACAAAATACAGAATTCCTCATGGAACCGGTGCAGACACGGCTGAATTGAACACAGAGCTGCTGTGGAGCAGCAGAATGACAGCTGTTGAGCCCTTGCCTTTCCAAGCACTGCCCCACGAGCCTTCCAGCCCCCGCCTAACAAACACACCTCTTCAGGTACCATCAGCTCCACTCACCCAACCAGTTCCTCACCTGTTACCCCAAGCTATCCTCTGAGGGAGAAAGGGCTCCGGCCAGCACTGTCCTGTTCACCGCCGGGGCACTGCTGTCACGCAGATACCTGGTGGAAATTCTGCTCTGCTCACTCCTCAACAACTCAGCTGCACTGGCAAAGGCACATAAAGACGTTCCTTATTTAATAGGGCTGAAGAGTTACACTCTGGGAAATCAGCCCATAAAACAAACGAGAGGACAGTCGCCTGAAAAGATGGGAAGACGAGCTCTCAGAGAATAATACACCGTCTGCTTTTCTACATCTACCAAATCACACCTGCGCCATCTAAAACAAACTTTCGACATAATATTTACAAAGAAAGACTTCAGAAGAGAACGCAGCCAGACACAGACCGCATCCCCGCGTTGAGGCCCTAGGAGCCCACGTTCCAGCCAGCAAAGGGAGCAGATGCCCGCACCGAGGACTCCTCGCGGAGCAGGGGCTGCACTCCTGCCCGCGGCGGGCGCTGCCGCGGCAGTGCCAGGGCCGGGATCGCACCGCACCGCGCTGCCCTCACGCGAGTCCGGGACACCCGAGGGGACAGACACCAGCAAGATCCCCAGCCCGGGGCCCGCGGGGGCAGCCCGACCCGGCCGCCCTCGGCTGGGAAAGGGGCAGAGTCTGGTGAGAGCAAGGCGAGGACAACGCTGCCCGGCGGCACCGGCGGCTGCCGGGGCTCGGCTGGGCCCGGCCCTCCCGCTCCCGCGGCGCTTTCGCGGGGGCGGTTTCGATGGGGCCCCGCGAACAGCACGGACGGCCGCGACCCCCGCTCGGCCCGGCGCCCTTCCTTTACCTCGCTTCGCTTCACCTCGCCTCCCGCGCGTCGGCGGCAGCGCCGGGCAGCGCAGTCGGAGCCGCCCCGGCCGGCCGGGCCGGGCGGAGGCGCGGGGATGGGCCGGCTCTGCGCGGCCGCTCCGCTGCCCCGGGCCCGGCCCCTGCGCATGCGCCGCTCCCGCGCCCCGCTCCGCCCCCGCCGGGCCGGGCAGAGCCCCTCAGGGCACCGGGGACAGCCCGGGCACGGAGCCGGGCGGGCAGAGCCCCTCAGGGCACCGGGGGCGCCCCGGGTACGGAGCCGGGCGGGCTCTGCGCCTTAGCGCCAGCACCTGCTCGTGGGGCGGAGTGGCCTCACAGACGTCTCCAAGTCACCAGGACCGATGGGCGGACCGATGGATCCGACTTGGGCCAAAGAAACTGGTTAAGATCACTCGCAGCCTCGATGCTATTAGTGTATTTTCCACAGCTCATTCCAGGATGCCTTTCAGTGCAAGTTATCTCAATAGCAACGCAATGAGAGCAACATTTCCCTTCCATTCTGGCAGCTGCCAGCAGTGCCCATTAAGAATGCCAGTGACCACAGTGAGGAGCAGCTGCTGCGTCAAGCCTGGTTACAAAAACGTTCATACACGTTCAAAGACACACCACAGTGGCAAAATCTGCTTAAAGGGGGTATAAACAATTCCAAAATCGAGACCATTAAAATGAAAGGTGGATGCTTACCTAGCTTTGAGGAGGCGGGACAAAGGCAGGCTGTCTCTTGTCCAAGAGGGAATTTTTATATTAATCCATGGCTTCCGTGAAAGCTCCCATTTATCTTCAGGCCCAGGAGCCCTGGTTCACCCCGCTGAGGAGCTCCTGTTGCTGCAGCTTCCATGCAATTCATAGCTGCCTTTTGAGAGAGGCATGAACTGGAGCAGTTCTACAACAAGTCTCCAGGGCCACTGGCAATGGCTCCACCTGCATGGATACCATACAGAACTGGGACACTAAATGCATTTATTACAAATTATATTGTGACTGACTTTTCAGTCCAGTGGGAGCTGCTGGTGTTTATTCAGGAGCCTAGAACACTGAAATGAAGTCCAGCTTTGCAGTGCCTGGTTTGGTAGAGCCATCAGAGCCCTTGGCTACCCCTTTACAGAGAGAGACACTGCTGCTCCCCTCTCCTTGCCAAACATTTGAGAGCAGTGAGGTGAACTGCCAGCCACAGAGGAAAACAGGAGCAGAAAAGGCAGTAAACAAGAGGCAGGTTAGGACATAGCCAGCCTCATGAAACTGGAGCAGAACTGAGGCCTAAGGCCTGGAAAAAAATTCACTGGAAAAGCCTCTGCCTTTGAAGAATCTGAGATATAGCATGAAGTTTCATGGTTTGTCTTTCTTATTTATCCCTGAGACCCCTCCCCTCAATCCAGCTGTGAGATGGGCTTGGCATGGTTTCCTATGCATACAGTAAGCTTGCAGAACAGTGGGGTGGTTTTTTTTTCCAAGCCCTGAACAGCTGGGCTGTATTTCCCATCACATGGGTGTGGGTCAGAGACCAATTTGTAGGCAGAAGGATTTAAGGTGGGATGCCCCTGAGCACCTGACTAGTCTGGACAAGACTGGCATACAGCCTTCCCCAAGCTGCTGCTCTGCTGTGTTACAAACCAGGGAGAGGTGAGGGAAGCTTTCCCATGGAATTTGGGGTTGACTGGGCCAGGGCAGTATGTACTCCAGCTATAAAAATCATGTCCCAAGTTCAAAGGAAAAGTGTGTGACCAGGATGGATCTTCAGTGTCCTGAGAAGATGCCACAGGGAAAGAACACAGACTTGCTTATCTATTGTCACACAGTGGCAGCTGCAACAAGGAGCAGAAACTGTTAATTCCTTTGGCTAGCTTCTCTCGTGGCAGCCAAGATTCCTGCATCCAGACGCTTCCCTCTTGCTCTGGCTCCTGCCCTAGACGCCTGTCACACTGCTCTGAGCTCTGTGGGAGTGAGAAGAGGAACCTCAGCCCAGGAAAAGACAGAGGAGCTGCTTGGATCTCTCTCCTGAGAGTTGAACACGTTGCTGCTGCACCATGGGAACAACTGTGCCATTTCCCAGCCATGGAGGCGCATCCGCCCCAGGCTCCACAACCAGGTCATGTCCACCAATGACTTTAGAGTGACCTTTTCTCACCTGAAAACGTGATGTGTGTTTCATTTTATAGCACGTGACAACTATTGCTTCAGTGCATTCCAAATCTGGCCCTTGGCAGCATTGCGTGTATTATACTTTCGGATTCAAGCTGGATTTCTTGTTCTGATTTGCACTCAGCTGCTCCTTATAGCAAGAGAGGAGGGAGATGGGAATCAAACTGCATGAAGGAGGCACAGTAAAAACTGCTTAAGAGCAAAACAGACCGAGATGTTTTGCTTAGTTTTCCTGATTACTTTTTCATACACTGTGAACATATCAAAGGAAACATAACAACACACATACAAAGAAAATAAGCCACCAAAAATCCCCACTAACCAACAAGTGAACAAAACCCCACAGAACTGAGCCCACTAGTTTTTCTGCAAGCCTAGTTTTTTGTAGCTAGGCTAGTATTGGGATGCTGAGTTGTTCTGTGCTCTGTTCTGTTGCCCTGCAATGTAGAGTGAGGCAGAATCTCCACCTCTTCCCTTTCTCTCAGCCTTGTTCCGTGAAGGTAGATCTGGCCAACAGCTTTCCAACACTCCCTCACATCAATACAGATCTCCGTGGTGGGGTTCTGATGAGAGCTGACAACAGCTAAACTTCCTGACCAGCCAGGAAATGAAAAAGTGGAAAAGCTGCATAACTGTATTTCCAGCTCAGCAGCACTTAATTTTTACCTTCCCTCTCTTTTAAGATTTTTTTGACAACAGCATTCAAACACAATGTATACTTATAGAGGGATGTGCAAGCACTTGGACATCTCAGTTCCCAGAGAAGGTGTGCAGCAGAAGCCCAAGTTTCTCAGAAAGCCCCTGCAAAGTCACAGCAACAAAGAAACACCACACACGTCTCTCAGCACTGTGGAAGGAAGATGAGGGCCATGGCATCTGATCCATCTCCTCACCAGCAACCTCACTAGCTCAGGGAGCAAGAAGGGAGGTGCAATAATGAGCCTCCAGCTGCCAATGAAAGCTCATTCCAGCTGTGTATCTGCCAAAAGCTATTCCTTTATCTATAGTCCAAGCCAAAGTAACATGGCAGCAGTGATGAGACCTCTGTCAAGGGAGATGATGACTGCCAGACACTAGCTGTGAATAATCCTCAGGAACTTGGGAATGATCTGAGCCATATTCTGATCCCACTGCTGAACATGTATCTTCTTTTGGGTGACACAGTGCGGGCAGGAGAGAAGCAGTGGTAGGACCTGTGTTTGGGTAAGGCCTTCCTCAGTGCACCCTAGTTCAGCATCCCTGATTCTGTCTCTGACCCACCACTGAAGCACAGCAACTTGAGTTGATCCAAGTTTGGACTTGGAAGTACCAGCCTCTGCCTTCGCTATGGTGGATGGAGTCCTGGCAAAAACCAGCATGCTGTCATCACCTTCAAAAAAAAAACAGGCTGATATTTCCAGTCTTCCTCTCACAGCTGTCTTAACTTGCAGGAAAGTAATGATTGTGAGTCATCCTTTTATATTTACACTGAAGACGGGGAAAAGACAGTGTTTTTAGCCTGGCCTTAAAACTGTTTTCTAAATAAAGTCATCTGTGCTCTAGATCTCCAGTTACAGTGAGGAGTGACATACACCATATCAATTTATGGGACAAGGGAGAACTGTGATGAACCAATTATTTGTCACTTCAGCATCATGTTTTGACGGTGCACTGTTTAACTAGACCCTACAAAAATTTAATTACTAATGCACTTTATGCTTCTTAATTAGCACTGTTAATATCTAATCCTTCCCCAGACGTGGAGTGCCCACAGACAACGCTGTTCTAAGGCAGCAGCAGGCATTTGCTTTATTACCTCTTGGCAGCCCAACCAGACCACTACGAACCTGGAGGAGAATCAGGCCTCCTCTATGCTCAGACAGCAACGAGAATGCCATTACTCAAGGGGAGGGGAAAGAATTCCTGCAGCTACATTAAAAGCTCTTGTGCTTATTAGTGAAAGTACTAACATTTCCCAGTATGCTTTCAAATTGTAGTCAAGTATTTTGCCTTCGGATTGGAGCTGCTTGTAAAAACAACAGTCATACACAACCAGTAACTTGAGGATTATCAGCTGCAGCTTTAACTCTCACAGAGACAGGCAGAAGCT